ACAGGTGACACACAGGTGACACAGGTGTGTGTCCCCAGTTCCGGTCGCTGTCCATGGTGTCCGAGTGTCTCTTCTCGCTGGTCAACGGCGATGACAGGCGTGACAGGGGTGACACAGGGTTACAGCTCACACAGGTGATACAGGTGACACAGGTGACACACAGGTGACACACAGGTGACACAGGTGTGTGTCCCCAGTTCCGGTCGCTGTCCATGGTGTCCGAGTGTCTCTTCTCGCTGGTCAATGGCGATGACATGTTTGCCACCTTCGCGGCGCTGCGGCCCAGCGGGGCGCTGGTGTGGCTCTTCAGCCAGGTGTACCTGTACTCCTTCAGCGCGCTCTTCATCTACATGGTGCTCAGCCTCTTCATCGCCCTCATCACCGGCTCCTACGACACCATCAAGGTGAGCGCCACAGGTGGGACCTCACCCGGGTGTGACATCACCTGGGTGTGACATCACCTGTGTGACATCGTGTGTGTGTGACATCACCTGTGTGTGTTACCTGTGTGTGATCTCAACACCGGCTCCTACGACACCATCAAGGTGAGCGCCACAGGTGGGACCTCACCTGGGTGTGACATCATTGGTGTGACATCATCTCTGTGTGGTATCACCTGTGTGACATCATCTGTGTGTGACATTTCCTGTGTGTGACATTACCTGTGTGTGTGACGTCACCTGTGTGTGTCTCACCTGTGCGGCATCATCTGGGTGTGATATCACCTGGGTGTGACATCACCTTGGTGTGACATCATTTGGGTGTGACATCATCTGGGTGTGACTTCACCTGAGTGTGTTGTCTCACCTGTGTGACATCATCTGGGTGTGACATCATCTGGTTGTGACATCACCTTGGTGTGACATTACCTGGGTGTGACATCAGCTCTGTGTGACATCACCTGTGTGACATCGTGTGTGTGTGTGTGACATCACCTGAGTGTGTTATCTCACCTGTGTGACATCACCTGTGTGTGACATTATCTGTGTGTATCTCTCCTGTCCCCT